CTTTTCTTCCTTCCTTTCTTCCTTCCTTCCTTCCTTCCTTCCTTCCTTCCTTCCTTCCTTCCTTCCTTCCTTCCTTCCTTCCTCCATCCCTCCCTCCCTTCCTCCTTTTTTTTTCATTTATTTAAATGATACAAGATCTTACTATATAGCCTTATCTGTCCTGGAATTCACTATGTAGACCACACTGGCCTCAAACTCACAGAGATTCTCCTGCCTCTGCCAAGTGCTGGGATTAAAAGTGTACGCCACTACACCCAGCAGAGGATCTGCATCTTTAAGCTCTGTCCTATCTGACCCCCAGGAACTGTGGACATTGAAGATGACCATGGCACCCACATACCAGGGGAGCCCCATGAAGGAGCACAGTGCCATGAGGATGCCCACCCAGAACAACATGACCCTAGTCTAAGGGCCGCACTTTGGGGATGATCATTCTAAGGGATCTCTTTGGATGGATCTCAACTGGCCCAGTTTGTAGACTGCCACAGTTAGAGAGGATCAGAAAACCTCTGACAGCACCTCGAGGCTTCCACTAGCATGGAGAGAAGATTCCAGAGTCTTTCCCGCTCTGAAGGTCCACAGCCCTATATTATGGTGCATCGGTCCCCACCCACCTCTCAAATGATCACCTCTGGGAGGACTACACAAGGGCTACAGTACACACAGGCTCTTGGCTGAGAAAGAAAAGTTGGATGAGCACAAAGAAGAGTTTGCAGGTTGGAAGCAGGCAGACTGCCCAGGCAAGGGCAAGGAGCAAACCTTGATGACATTAGGCACATGCAGCTTGGGGGTTTGCAGGCCAAAACAGGCATCGATTCCACAGAACAGCAAGATGGAGAAAACAATGGAAAAGTCAGCCACCAGGGTCCGGACCTGCAGAGAGGAAAGGAGGAAGCGAGTGTGAGTTCCGGCTTGCTGAAGACTCAGTCCTTAGGTGGCAATGGAGAGAATGGTCAAGGGTTGTGTTCGGAAGTCAGCAGGCCTGGGTCAGCAACCTCGGGGGTGTCCACCATCTTTCCAAGCCTCCGTTTCCCTTCCTGCAAAATGCAGGTAATGATGGTACCCACCTTGGAGGCACAAGTGGAAGGTGGCAGTTTAGAGAACTTGGGAGACTTTGGCCAGAGTGGCAGACTTCAGACTGGCTGAAGTCACGCTTTGATAGAATGACCGAACTTGGCACCCCAGCAGGGGGGTGAGTTGAACTCAGAAGGAAACCCTAGCTCCTCCAGACATGCTGGCAGATTGTTGTACCCAACCTGGGCTGAGAGGGAGCCCCCTCCCTTTCATGGGGGACCCCTGACTAAGCCAGTGAAATGGAATAAAAAACCCAGAAGGGACACTGTCGGGCAGGAACACATGAGACATGGCAAAGGATGCTTTGCAAATCATTATAGAAAACAATGGTCTTGAAAAGCAAAAACAAAAGCTGGGACAATGAGCTATTTATACAAAACACAAAGCACCGCCGTCTCCCATTATATGCCGGAATCGCTTGTGAAGAATTGCAGAGCAAACACGAAAGGCAGACCAACGGGCTTTTAGAGCGTGCGCGCGCGGCACGGGTTTCTGCTGGTCTTTTCCGAAAGGGAAATTCGGCCGTGTTTGATTATACGTGAAACTGAGAATTCTGCTCATCAACAGGTCCCTTAGAAAAGCCAAAGTGTGGAAGAGGCTGGAGAGAAGAAGGCTCTGCAGTTAAGAGCATTGGCTGCTCTTGCTAAGGTTTGGTTCCCAGAACCCCACGGTGGCTCACAACAATCTGTAACTCCAGCTCCATCAGATCTGATGCCCCTTTTCTGGCTTCTTTGGACACTCTGTGCATGTGGTGAACATAAATATATTCAGGCAAAGCATTCATTGACAGAAAATAAATCGAATGAATCTTAAAAACGATAAGGAAGGTTAAAAGGGGCCCGGTGAGAAGGCTGGGTAGGTAAACTTGAGGACCTGAGTGCTACCCCCAGGACCTACACGGTGGGAGGAGAGGACCGACTCCTCCAGGTTGTCCTCTGATCTTCATACATGAACCATGGTACGCCTAGGCACACACACAAATTAAAAAAAAGTAATAGCTAATTTTTAAAATAATCTAAAGGCCAGTTCACAGAATGGCAACAGGCCTTTGCAATACATACATCCCAAAAAAGGAGAGTACACATCACATAAAAATCAAATTCAACAGAAAACATATGGCAGACTGAAACAGAACATTTCCAAGAACGAAGCCAATTTGGCTATATGGCCAATAAACACACACAATAAGGTCTTTTTTATTATTTTTTTTTAACTTCATCAGTCACCCGGGTTCTGTGGGATGGTCTTTCTGTATGCTGTGAATATGTGTTGCTACTGCTGGCTGATAAAGAAGCTGCTCTAGCTTATGGCAAGACAGGTTATAGCCAAGTGGGAAAGCCAAGCAAAGATACAGAGAGAAGAAAGGCTGAGTCAGGGCAGACGCCAGCCTGCCGCCCAAGGAGCAACATGCCAGCAGACTGGTAACGCCACGGCCACATGGCAATACATAGACTAATAGAAATGGGTTCATTTAAGATGTAATAGCTTGGGCTGGAGAGATGGCTCAGAGGTTAAAAGCACTGGCTGCTCTTCCAGAGGTCCTGAGTTCAATTCTCAGTAACAACATGGTGGCTCACAGTTATCTGTAATGACATCTGGCGCCCTCTTCTGGCCTGAAGGGATATATGCAAGCAGAAGCAGAACACTGTATACATAATAAATAAATAAATCTTAAAAAAAAAAAAAGGATGTAATAGCTAGCTAGCAACAAGATGAGTCATAGACCAAACAGTTTGTAATTAATATTAAGCCTCTGACTGGTTATTCAGTTACTGGTGGGCAGAAAAGATTTATCTGGCTACACCAGGGAAACACAATATTTAGAAAAACAGCAAGTGTTGTCAAGGGCAACTGGGCCTTTCTGCCTCCAAAGTCTTGTTTGTTGTTGTTTGATTTTTCAATACTGGAGATTAAATCTAGAGCCTCAGCTTGGCATGGTAGCACACACCTTTAGTTTCAGCACTTGGGAGGCAGAGGCAGGTGGATCTCTGTGAGTTCAAGACCAGTTCAAGACCTGCTCTACAAAGTGAGTTCTAGGACAGCCAGAGCTATTACACAGAGAAACCCTGCCTCGTCTTGAAAAATAACAAAATAATTAAATGAATATAAAATTTAAAAAAATCTAGGGCCTCCTGCATGATAGACAAGCACTCTGCTCCTGAGCCATATCCCTTGTCCTCTTTTTAAAACTTTAATCTTATTCTTAAACATTTTACTTGTATGATTTCTTATTTGTGTGTGTGTCTGTGTAAATGAATGGCATGTGTGTGTGGCTGCCTCTGGTGGCAAGTAGAGGGAGCTGGAGTTACACACAGTTGTGAATCACCCAGTGTGGGTGCTGGGATCCAAACTTGGGTTCTCTGGAAGAGCCACAAACCCTCTTAACTCCAGAGCCATCTCTTTAGCCCCTTCATTTTCTTTTGAGATAGGGTGTGTGTTTCCCAGGCTGGCTTTCAATCTGTGATCCTTCCGCCTCAGTCTCTGTGGAACTGGGATTACAGGTTTGGGCCACTGAGCTGGACAAAGTTTGTGGTCTTAATTTGTATCAATCCCTCAGGCCAATGCCTCCTTGGTGTCCATCCTTTCAGAAGACAGAGCCCTCTGGAGAGACCACGTGGGAGTGTTCCTTTTAAAAATATTATTGTGTGTGTGTGTGTGTGCACACATGCACAGGTGCCATTGGCCCAGCTGTGGAGGTCAGAGAACAAAGTGTGGGAACGGGTTCTCTCTTTTCACCATGTGGGTCTTGGGGATACAACTCAGGTTGTCAGTCTTGGCAGCGGGCACCTGTGGGGCCGTCATTGAGCTGAGTCTGCCTTGAGAATGCCCTGGGTGTAAATCCCTGGCTACTGCAGGGGGCACTTACCTTGGTAGGAAAATAGCGGCTGAATTTGAATTTCTTCAGAGTCAAGGTCATGGAGTAAGTCCCGAAGAAAAGGATGAAGGACATGAGTGCCAGGTCTGGGATGAACCGGCAGGAGTTCCCTAGCAGGCGCCCACCGTAGCTCAGACACTCCTTCTTGCTCAGCAGGGACCAGTCCAGCGCTGTGAGGTTAAGGGGGGTGTACTTGGAGACCAAGCACAGGAGAAAGGGGGTCAGGACCTCCTGTCAGGCAGTGTGTCCTTCTCCCTGTGGCCCTGGGTAATCTCAATACCTACCAAACCTTGGAGAGCCCCTAGTCCTCCTGCCCATGACGATGCCCTGAATAACAGAGCCATGTCCCTGGGGCAGACTGCTCAAAGAATGACGAGCAGGAAGCTCCCCAGAAAGATTAGGGGCGGACAAGTGTTTCTTCCGTGTGTTCTGGGATATGTGGTTTTGACAGCAGGAGGAAGATGCTTTCTCCTCCCTCCCATAGGTCTGCCCCATTCCAGGCCGAGAGCCATGGCGTTACTGACGCTGCCTCTCAGAGACAGTTAGTGTCCCTTCCTTCCCTAGGTCACACACATCCTCACTGTTTTCTTCTTGGGTTATTTCAACCACTTCCTCCTTGGGTGTCCCAGATGCTAAAATTCAGAGACTGTGAATATATATATATATATATATATATAATTTATGTGTATTATATAATATATAAATATATATTATAAAATATATATATTTTATATCCTTTGTAGGTATGGGCTTCACATATGTGAATTTAAGCAGTTGTAGATAAAAAAAAATTAATTGTGCCGGGCGGTGGTGGTGCATGCCTTTAATACCAGCACTTGGGAGGCAAAAGCAGGTGGATCTCTGTGAGTTCTAGGCCAGCCTGGTCTACAAAGTGAGTTCCAGGATAGCCAAGACTGCTTCACAGAGAAACCCTGTCTCAAAAAACAAAACAAACAAACAAACAAACAGCATCTGTATTAAACATGCATCCACTCTCCCTGCATTCCTGACTGGATATGACCCACTGCTTCAAGTTCCTGTATCCTTGACTCCCTTGCAGTGATGGACTGTAGCCTGGAATTGTGGGCTGAATACACCCTTTCTCCTTTAAAGCTGCCTTCTTTTTGCCAGGAAACTGGGGTTGAGTTACTTGGAGTCATGGTAGAGGCCTCCCTCCTCTGTCCTCACACTCTTAGACCCGAGACCACGCTGCTATGAGTCACTAAGAGTGGAAAACCAATGCAGAGACACAGACCAAACCATCCCAGCTGGTCCATCTGAGGCCCGCTCCCAGCACCTAACACATAATAGGCTGGGAAGCAGGCACTGCCTGAGTCTGCCCTACTCAAAGTCTTATGTTTGAGGGTTTGGTTACATAGTCAGGTGAGATGGATAGAGGCTGAGCCATTGGCTGCCTGTGCAGGGGAATGCAAGCAACCTTAGGGACACTCAGAGCTCACAAAGCTGCCCCAATGCCTACATGCTGCCCTTTACCTGAATTATGATTTCACATTCTTCCATCTACTTAGGCTGGGAGAGGACTGAAGCCCACCACTTACCATTGTTTGGGAAGGCAGAAGGCTGGGCTCCCTGGAGACTAATAGGTGCAAAGGACAGGTCAAATTCATTGGGGGGTGCTAATAAACTTCTGGGTCTGGGAGTGCACTGTTGGGTGGGAACTGGGGGTTCCCTGGCAGAAACTAACCACAACCTGTATATGTATGTAGCTCTGGTTATCATTTACCTGCTCTGGGTATGTAGTATTATATTTCTGCATAGAGATGTCACACACAGGGCAGGGAGGGGGGTCTTTAGAGCAGGATGCTTACAGTCACAAACTTAAAAGCATCGTTCCCAGAGCCCAGCTGCTCCTGAGATTGACCTCCCAATTCCTTCCTGACTCCCCACCATAAACAAAAGCACATGAACCGCTGCCCTGATCAGAAAGGGCTTACCAGAGACGTGTTGGTGTCTGGTGCCAGTGAGGCTGAGGCATTGAGCGTGGTTGTGTTCACTGGAGGAGACACAGAAGATAGGCCGGGGTCAGTGGTTTCTAGATGTGCAGCCCGCAGCCTCCAGGGACCCCGCCATTTCCCATCATCTCCCTCTGATCTCTCCTATAGACTTCGCCTTCCCCCATCTGCTCCCATGACGGAGGGAGTTGGTCCCAGGACTCACACAGAGCAGCTGGGCCAGTGCAGAACAGCTCATCCTGAGGACCAACACCTACTTCTAACAACTCAAATAAGCAATCTGCTGCTGAGTCCCTGCTGGGTGCCAGACACAATTCTGTGCTGTCAAACTCTTTTCAAAAAGTGTTTCAAAGAGCTAATTCCGCGTCATGCACTCTGCCAAACCCTGGGAATACACTCATTTGTTCAGTTCCCCAAATCTCCATGACGTATCCCCATTTTACAGATGAGGTAACTGAGCTCAGTGACATTAAGTTATCTATTACCTAAGGTTTCAGAGTTCATCTTCAAGCTATGATCCCATCCCAGGCCGCTGGTAGAGAAACTATAAGCCTCTCATTTCTGCCCAGTTTCCATCTATGGAGACTACTCTCCTACCCACTCCGTCTATACTCTTTAAAGGCCAGCTGAACCTTCATTCAGGGTGTGTTTACTTTGATATTTTCCTCTCTAATCTGCCCCTGCAGTGCAAGGCAAGAATAGTATAACCTGGATCTAGGACCTGAAGGAGAACCAGAAGCCCCAAAGAACTTCTTGCTGTGTCCCTTGCCAAGCACCCCCTTTCCTGACCTCAGTGTCCCCAACTGTCAGTGGAGTATCTAGCCATCTCTTGAGGTCTGGGAGCCATTACCAGTTTTGTCCCCCCCCCCCCCCACTGTGTCTGGCTTCCCTGACTCTTCCGGGTAGGAAGGGCTCCTCACCCACAGGCTCCCCAGGTGATGTGGCCACCCATCACAAAGGCTGGCTTTGGAGGACCACTGCTTGCCCACTCCTCTCCCCTGGACTACATGGGTGGAGGGAGCCTGGCTTCTCCCCTTCCTCCTCTAAGCAGCTCCTCAGTGGTCGGTTTGAGGACCAGCGGCAGTTGCTGCTATGGTCTGAAGTTGCAGAATCCCCATTTGTTCCTGCTGGCTGTCTACCTTCGGATGGACACCCAGCACAAAGGTCCTTATCCTGAGGCTCTGCCCAGCCTCTAGCAAGCCGTCTGCAGGGCTGGATATGATCACAGAAATTGGGTGCTGCTGGACCAGCTGGATCAGTGTTGACCCTGGGCAGAACAGTGCCAATGACGTTACATCCTAAGAATCACCCTGAAGGAAGTTTCCCTTATGAGAAATTAGGGACTCTATTGCCTCTTCTCACAAGAAAACAGGATGCCCAGTTAACATTATGGACAGAGAAGCTGGGTAAGAAGCCCCACTGGGGGGGGGGCTACCCACTCCACTGCTCAAGAGGGCCGCAGCACCCAGGATTTTCAAACCAGACCTCTTGATATCTTCGACGTGGGCTTATCAGTTCTTTTATAGCAAGAACAGAACCCTATAGGAGATGGGAGAGCTATAGTATGGGAAATTCCAGGAAGGGTCCAAGTATCAAATACTATACAATTCTTGTGCACACAGAGTGGTACTCACTTAAAGTTGAGAGCGGCCAAATCAGCATTTGCAGCATCCATAAACAGAATACAAACCAGTTACCATGGAAAAAAAATTTAAATAGGAAAAGATAGTGTCCCAAGCAAGCTTGTATGAGAAAGAGTGTGAGAGAAGAAGGTGTGCCGTCGTTAGACTGGGCTCTGCAGCAAAGTCAGGGCAATGAGCAGTTAGTCGCAGGTGGCACGTGAACTGGGAAGAAAACCCCATTGGTTCCCCACTGCCCTGGTCTGCTGAATGCCCAGACCTTTGCCGTCCGAGTTCTCCTAATGAAAATGCATGGGCGTTGACAGCAGCCCATTATTCTCTGGGGAGAAATCTTGCTGGGATTAGTAGTTAATCACAGCTCAGTAAAACAAAGTTTGTCAGACTTGGGGAGGGCAGGCCACAGAAGCCCTGGGCAGCCTTGTCAGTGCATAGCCAGTTGGATTCTACCTGGGATTCTAGATTCCTTGGGTCTGGGGTTGGAGCCCACAATTCTGCATTTCTGATAAGTTTCTGGTTGGTGTTGGTGCTGCCAGGCTTGGGACAATGCACTAAGAACCGTGAAGACGACTCAAGGTAATCAGGCATCCAGGCAAGAACGACGGGAAGCGATTCAAAAACAGGCAGCTTTGTTATGCCCTTTGAAGTCCACTGTCTATGCTCCTACAGCTCCTCTTCACAGGGCACCCCAAGGTGAACAGAAGGTTCACCGAGTAGCCAAAGTTCCTCACAGTACCCCAGAATTTGGACTATTTCTAAAGAGACAAGGACATATGTTTCTAGGAGGCAGAATTGGGCCAAGTGTGCATACTGAGTCTGGAAAGCACACACAGTAAAAACAAACTTGGCCCCTGAGACCAGATTCCCCTAAAGCAGAATCCGAATCAAAGGGACTGTGGCAAGACCTCTTTAGAGATCTAGGCAAGGACTCGGACAAAGGGTAAACTTTACCTATCACTGTTTAATAGAACAACTCAAAGATAACGCTAGAAAAAAGAAAAGAGAGAAAAAGTTAAGCCTAGACTTCTTTCCAGAAATCAGTGCAGTGATTGGCAGTGTGACCAACACTATCCCCCTTGCAGGAAGGACATCTTATAAAAGATGCAGGGTAGAGCAGGACCCCATACTTGCAAAGCAGAATATCAGCTGACAAGATCAATTTTTTTTAAGGCAGGGTCTCAGTACATAGCCTTGGCTGGTCTGGGACTTCCTATGTAGACCAGGCTGGCCTTGAACTCACGAAAATCCACTTCCCTCTGACTCTCAAGTGCTGGGATTAGAAGTGTGTGCCAGTATACTTGGCATGATCAATTCTTTTATTAATTATTATTGTTGTTTTATTATCATTAAGCTAAGGGATTGAACAATCTAATATCTATTTATTTTCCTACTTATTTGAAAACCTCTCAGGCATCTCTGATAAACACTGATTACCCTTTGACAGTCAGGGAAACTGAGGTTCAGTGTGGTCTCGGGTAGCCTCTGGACCTCAGAGTTTGCTTTCTGTCAGGCCAGGACAGTGGTGCTTGGGTAGGGTCTCGCACCCTACTCTGCATTCCCTTGGGCCCTCTGGGTTCCTCCCGCTGGCATCTCTTAGGGGCATGGTTCTGGTGTGATGGCAATCAGACTCTGAGGAGGCCTTCACTTTGCAGGTGATGATTTCTTTGGTCAGAAAGCAACCACACATGACCAGCACTGAGGATTTATTATCAGGTTGACCAGCTGTTTGCTCCACCCCGCTCAGCGCTGGGGTCCTTGAAACACTGTTGGCACATGCGTGCCAGACAGTCCAAGCAACTGGTTCCCAAGCAAGGGGGTTGGTAGCTCTCAAGATACTTCTCCTCACTGTAAGTTCCTCCTAAACTCAGCAGCAGCTGGCTTCCTGGAACTGCTCGTCAATTCTCATTCCACATCCTGTGGTCACAGAGGGTAGATGGGGTCCTTCGTGACAGCCCTCTCAACCTGCTCATATGCCTAGGAGGCCGCAGGATGCCAGCTTCCCCATCTCTTCCCACGGCGGGACTGGCAAGGCCTCCACCCTGACTGTAGGCACGTTTGTCCCCTGGGCTGGCCTCACTTTATGAGGTCTGTAACCACCTGGCAGTGGTATGTGGAGGCCAAGCTGTCATGTATGAATGGCTCTGGGAGGGGCCATCAGATCTACCTGACTCGGGCAGTATTACTGACAGGTGTGTCCTCCACTCCAGCCCACACTTCGGTAAATCATGCCTTGCTCCTGCCTGAAGTTCCCCTGCGGCTTCCTGATTACAGCCCTGGATGCTTTTGACCACAACCATGTGGTGGCTTTTACTGGAGCTATCATCCCCTCAAATTCTTTCCAAAAATTAGGGTCCAGACTCTGCAATTAGCATTGTGAATTCCAAAGCCAGTCTGGGGATCACAGCCAAGGCCAGCCTGGGTTACATAGACAGACCCTGTTTCAACAGACAAGACCAAGCCTTTGCTCCTTTGGAACAGTAAGCACCTGGCTGAACAAGCCCTTCAAACAAGCTCCGGCATTGAGAGCTGTGGTGGAAGGAGTGTGTGTGTGTGTGTGGAGGGGGTGAGTAGTGCACGTCGGGGATTACCTGCGTCAGGAGCGACACACTCGCATTTGTAGGTGGTGATGGAGTCAGGCTTGAAGTCCGTGTTGATGGGATAATAACTGAAGGCACCGATCATCTTTTTGATGGCATCGTAGATGAAGATGAAGCTGATGAGGGTGGAGAACCCCTCCTCGGTGAACCGGGTGATATACTTGATGATAAAGCTGGCGTCTGTGGCCACCAGGATAAGGCACTGGATGGCTGAGTGCAGGCCGATCCAGAGGCGGAACTCCATGTAGTCCAGGCCATTGGCCCTGGATGGCAGAGGGAAGTGAGGGACCTCCTGGGCTTGGCTCCCCAGCCCCACCCCGAGTGGCTCGTACTCCTTTGGTAGCACAGATGCCCGTCTAAGGACTGAGAATGGTCTGGACAGGTACAATTTCTGGGTCGGGTTGCGTGAGTGCGTGCGTGCGTGCATGTGTGTGCGTGTGTGTTTATGTGTGCATGCACATGTATTTGTGGGTTTGTATGTATGCTGATACACATGTGTGGAAATTTCCAGGTAAGGAGTGAAAGGAAAAGTATCAGCTCAGGACCCCCAAGGCCAAGTTCTCAGCACAAAGGAGATTTATTTGTCCCAGAGGGACAGATCAGGGAATAAGAGACAAAGGCAGGAGATAAAGGATGAGGGAGAAGGGGAAGGGAACAAGGGAGAGGGGGCAGCGATATTTGTTGGGGGTGGGGGTGGGGAGAGAGACAGAGGACTGCCTCTGGATAGAGGGGAGACAGACATGGCCCAGAGGCAAGTGGCAGTTGATAAAGGTGAAATGGGAAACCTTGTGTTAGGATGAGGCGTTTAATTTTAATTGGGCATGTTAATTAGGGCAGCCAATGGGAGCTTCTGATTGCTGGACTTCAATACTTTGGTAGCTGGATCTTGGTAGCCAGCCTCAGGAGGATGAAGTGGCCTTGGGGGCTAGCCTTAGATTTGAATGTAATCTACTGGTTTTTAGCAAGGCAGAGGGAATGGGAGAGAAGGGCGAGGCCCGCCAGAGCCATGTTCGCAATGCTCAAGCTGGCCAGAGTCCCTTCAGGGAGTGCCAGGGTCCACCCATCTCCACCTCCCAAGCACCGGGATTGTAAGCATGTGCCACCAGATTTTACACGTGGGTAAGATCTGGGGATTGAGCTCAGGTCCTCATGCTTAGGGGGCAAACACTCTACTGACCGGCCACCTCCCCAGCTCTGGGGTGTCTGGTCTTTGAGAAGTCTTGGAAAAGACCTCACTGGGTGTCAGGAAGCTGCTAAGACTTTGGTGCTCGGGAGAGAATTTGAGATGAACGGTCTGGAGCTGCCTTAGGAAATGGTCTCATCCAAACGCATAAGGAGGCTGAGCTTCCAGCCCATGGCTCCTTCTCTACCACACTGACTTTCCAGTGAGCAGTGATGTGGCCTGGCTTGCTCCCAAAGTGCTAATCTGCACTCAGATGACTTCAGTGCAGCTTACGGGAGTCAGAAGGAACCACCCAACAACCACAGTTCAAGAGATCCCCCCTCACAGGCCCCCTCCATCCTCCTACCCCTCAACCCTAGGCCTGACCTGGACCTATTCTCCACCCTCGCCTGGGCTGACTGCCTTAATTTCAAGAGCAGGCATGGAGCCTGCCATGCGGTACCTACTTGCTGAAGTCAAAGAGGAGCTTCTCGAAGATGAGGATGGGCCCGGTGCTGCTGAGGATGATGAGGGGCTGCCCCGAGAAGAGGCAGAACAAGGCACCAGCCATGGCAGTGCCCAGGAAGCTCTCCATTACTCCCTGTTACATGAGAAAGCAAAGAGACTCAGGGAGGCAGAAGGGGCTGTTGGGCCACAGTTTCCTCTGAGATTAAAACCTGCTATTTTAGAGGGAGGCGCATTAGAAGACAGGATTTTTGCAGGGGGGGTGAAACACCCTGTTGTAAAGGGAATGTGAAACTTTCCTGCAGCGAAGCTCCTGAAGCTCAGGAAAGAAACAACTCACTGGCTTCAGGAAGTCCCTGAATCTGAACAGATACACTAGTCAGACTCCCACCACGCATATAAAGTATAAGGCCTGCTGAGAGATAATCTCAGACAAACTGAGCTGCCTGCAGGAGGCTCAGGCCAACTGAGGCAACTGGGAAGGATGCCCTTCAACCTGGTGAGCTCCGGCAGGCTGTGCAGCGTGCTCCAGGTCTCCAGCTTTTGTGAGCTGGGGTTGGCTTTGGTGATATAGCTGTGTTTGAGTCTGTTCCTGTGAGTAACCCCTCATCCAGAAGTAACCACAGAAAAACTCAGGGTTCACCGAACGTAGCTTTGGTGGTATCCGCACATTGGTCTGTCATGGGCTCCCTGTCTGGGGTGAGTAGATGTTTGTTCTGTCTCCCCAGGAAGAATGTCACACCAGGAGCCTCTCTAACACAGGCTAAAACTAACTGCCTCTCCAAGGACCTGTCAGTGGGCTCTCTCTTCCCAATCCTGCCTCCCATTCCCTGTCTTCCATTTCGACCATGGCCAACATCACTCTCTAATTCCATTTGGACAAAGGTTCCCTGGGACTTCTGCTGTCAAACCAAGGTCTTCAAAACAGTGAATATGCTCATCCCTGTGCCCCTCTGGTTATCATTCAGTCATGTAATTATTCATTCATTTTCAAATATCGATGTGTTGCCTTTAGACTTCAGACCAAATCATTCATTCAAAAGCCACCCAGCAAGTACCGGAGAAATGGCTCAGTAGTTAAGAGTACTTGCTGCTCTTCCAGAGGACCCAGGTTCAGTTCCCAGCATCTACACAATAGCTAACAAATGTAATTTCAGTTCCAGGGGACCCAACACCCTTTTCTGGCTTCTGCAGGCACTGTATGCATATCCATACACATCCATGCATGCAGGTAAAACAGCCATATAGAATACTATGTACCAAGCAATGTGATAGGCACCAGAAACCAGCCAGTGAACAGCAGAGCACATTTTCAGGTTAGTGGAACATGTAGATACATAGCTGGTTTTTTAGGCCTTTTAAACCTAGGCATTATTGATGATTTGGTGAATGATTCTCAGTTGTGGGGACTGCCCTGTGCATTGTGGGCTATTTAGTAGCATCCCTCACCTGTAGTCACTAGATGCCAATAGTCACGGCCCCTTCCAGTTATAAAAACCAAGCCCAGCTCTGGATATGGCCAAATGTCCCCTGGGGTCCAACTGCCCCTGGTTGAGAGCCACTTCCAAGGAGTGGGATGCTGGCATGGGTTCCCAGTGCCAGAGAAGCTCACAGCAGAAGAGAAGGGGTCACCAAGAAGGTCACTCCAGACAGATATGTGGAAGTTGAGATCCCAAACACAAGCAGGTATTGGCTAGGAGAGGCTGGTTAAGTGGAGCGAGGAGCAGCTGGTCCCAAGAAGAGGACAGCACACCTTGAGGCAAGAACAGAAGGGTGTGTGTCCCAAGGGCTTGAGGATGATCAGGATCACAGGACACACACTGTGTGAAGGGCTGGATGCTGAGGAAGAGAATGCAGAGGCGAGGCTTGACAGAAAAGCAGGGCCATGCCCTGAGCGCCAAGGGAGAAGCTGCATGTGGGAGTTTGGGGTGATCCTAGCTTCTGGCAGGGACAGCAGGGTGAGGCATATGTCACATGTTATGCTGGGAAAGAATCATGAGTAGATGGTGAGAAGAAGAAAAGATGACAGGTGTCATGTTGTCTGTGCGAGCCAGGGGATTCAGAGAGGCAGCCATGTAGGAATGCACAGGAGGCAGCTGGGCATGGACCTGAAGCTTGGGAGACAGATGTAGGCAACGACAGACACTCATTTCCACATCTGAAAATGGGTCTTTCCTTGGTGCTCTGAGCTTTTATATTGTTTGATTTGTCTTGCAAGCATTGGGGATTGAATGCAGGGCATTGAGCATGCTAGGAAACCTCTGAGCTAGGTCCTTACCACTTTCTAATTTTTTAATTTAATATTTAAAAAACTTATGTATTACTATTATTACTATTATTACTGTGTGTGTGTGTGTGTGTGTGTGTGTGTGTGTGTGTGTGCACGCCCATGTACAATGTGCCCAGTACAAATGTAGAAGTCAGAGAACAACTTTTAGGAGTCTGTTCCCTCCTTCACTGTGGGGACCTGGGATCTAATTCAGATCATCAGGTTTCCACAGCAGGGGCTTTTATCCACTGAGCTAGCCCCTTACTTTTTATTGTTGTTGCTATTTTGAGATAGAGTCTCTCTATGTATCCCTGGCTGCCCTGCAACTCTCTATGTAGAACAGGCTGGCCTTAAACCCACAGAAATCTGCCTCCATCTGCCTCTGAGTGCTGGGATTAAAGGCATGCACAGCTACACCCAGCCTGCTCCTTACTTTTAAATTTTTATTTTTTGAAACAAGGTCAAATGTATCCCAGGTTAGCCTCCAACCCAATATGTAGCAGGGACTTGTCTGAACTCCTGGTCCTTCTGCCTATGTATTTTAAGGGCTGGGGTTACAAGCATGTGCTGTCAGGCCACACATACTTTTTTGTTTGGTGACAACATCATGCTAAGTTGCCAAGGCAGGCTTTGGACTTCTGATCCCTCAGCCTCCCGAGTAGCTGAGATCATAGGCCAGTACCACCAGGCCTGTCTTTGCTCTGAGCTGCCTAGTGGTTCTGCCACTGGAGAAGACCCTTGGCAGGAGACCGGCAGGTATCTCTATGAAGCCAACACCATCCCCAGGGAAGCCCCATGATGTCACCATGGCAACAACTCTCATTCCATAAACATATTAACACTAAGCTAAGAAATCAAAGTGAGTTGTTTTGTTTTGGTTTTCAAGACAGGGTTTCTCTGTGTAGTTTTGGTGCCTGTCTTGGATTTTGCTCTGTAGACCAGACTGGCCTCGAACTTACAGAGATCCTCCTGGCTCTGCCTCCCGAGTACTGGAATTAAAGGTGTGCACTACCACCGCCCGGCAAAAGTGAGTTTTCTAAATAGAGAGGGCTGGATAGAGAGATAGCTCAGGGGTTAGGAGCACTGATTGCTCTTCTAGAAGACCCAAGTTCCCAGCATCCATAGGGCAGCTCACAACAGCCTATAACTCCAGTTCCAGGGGACCCGGTGCCTTTTTTTCTGGCCTCCATGGGCACTGAATGCACATGGTACACAGATATACATGCAGGCAAAACACTCATACACATAAAATAAAATATTTTTAAAATAAAATTAAAATGTAAGAAGGCCACAATTAGCAACTTAATTAACAGTGCTGATTAAGTTCACTAAATATTCAGTGGGGAAAGTAACAAACAGTAATGTGGCTGATTTCCCTAAAAGTTACATTATTCCTAAAATCGTGATTTTGTCGGAAGGGTAAAGAGTTACATAAAGCCAGATGGCCAGACTGATGGTGGTACCCACCCTTGGTGTTGGGATTACATGCTGAAACTCCTTACTGCCAGCAGGTGGCAGTAGACTTGGTGTTTGTCTGTCCCCAGCTCACACTCACCTGATAATTGTCTGTGGCATCCCCCAGAAGCCCACCAAAGGTGATGGCGTTGGTGATACAGCCGAGGTAGATGAACAGAACAGCCGAGATGGACTGGATGTGGAAGCCGTCATAGAAGTCACTTGGGAACCAGGGCAGCTTCCTCTTGACATCCAGGCGAAGGCCCCCAAAGAACCTGCTTGAGACAGGCAGGAGACTGCTTTCCTCTGCAGGCACCCAGAGGGGCGGGGATGCCTCCAGGGCCCTACAGAGTCTGGGGTGAGGGGCAGGGGTAGACGGAGTTGCGATCTTTCTACCAGAACACTGAGGATCAGACGTGATTCACGTAGGCCTGAAAGTTTGCAGTCAGCACCGTCCATACTAGGGAGGGTGAACACAGACTGCCTGAGAGGAGGAAGTCCTGATGGGAACTTCCCTGTGGAACATACTCCACTGTGATGGCCTTCCTCGAGTTCCTAACCAACCCAAGCCGTACAACACGTGATGGTTAGTGTTAACCACCAAACTTCACCAAATCTAGAATCACTCAGGAGATGGGTCTCTGGATATGCCTGTTGGGGCTTATCTGGACTTTGGCAATTGAATCGGAAGACTCCTCTTGACTGAGGTCGAGGCTGCTCCCTGGGCAGGGGATCTGGGACTGAATGAAATGGAAGAATCGAGATGAGAACGAGCAAGGATTTACTGTTCTGCTGCCTGGCTGTGGCTGCAGTACGACCAGGTCTCTCCTGTGGCTCTGACCCCCCCCCCCCCACGTGATGGGCTGTAACCTAAACTTCTAGCCAGAATACGCCCTTTCTCCCTGAAGTTGCTTTCGTCAGAGTGTCTTATCACAGCGAGAAACTAAGACACAGCACACAGCTGTATCCCCCAAGTCATCATTTACACAGAGCCTTGCACTTCTACAGACTTTCCTAAATCTCAGTCAACCTGGGCAACTCCAGGAGCAGCCAGGGAACTCAGGCCAGGACAAGTTCCTCTTGTTCCCCCGAAAGAAGAGAAAAATGATGCTTTTAAATAATTCTAAGATCTTTAAATGTACTATTATATATTAGATTATACCTCTTTTAAAATGAATACATTACATCTCCAACCCCTGGTGCTTGTGGATATGATTTTATTTAGAAAGCCTTTGGGTTTGGGAATGCAGCTCAGCTGGGGGAGTGCTTGCCTACCATGAATACGGTACCTGTGCATGAGGCCCTGGATTATAAACCAAGCATGGTGGTGGCTGTGAGTTCAGCTCTGGAGGGGGTGGGTTAGGGGCATCATCGGTTCAAGGTCATCCTCTGCTGTAGTAAGCCTGAGATCAGCTTGGGTTACATGAGACCACACACACACACACACACACACACACACACACAGTTTTTGCTGATGTGATTAAGTTACAATGAAGTCATTAAGAGTGGGCACTGATTCGGCCCTTAGGGAAACAGGGCAATACTACCCACAGACATCCACACAGGGACGAGCAAGGCCATGTAACAACACAGAGAAAAACTGAGGGATGCAAGTGCCAAGTTAAAGAGTGTCCTAGATGCCTGGCTGCCATTAGAACTCCAAGGAGGCTCTACCCACAGGCTCACAGGCAGTGGTGCTGGCATCTTTATTTAGAGGGTCGGGTTGAGACAGGGTCTCATATTAAAACCCAGGCTGGCCTGGAACTTGCAGAAATCCTCCTGCCTCAGTCTCTCCAGTGCTGGACCCTGTAGGTAGGGTCCACCATGCCCTGCTCCCTGCTGACATCTCCATTTCAACTTCTGTGAAAATGGATTTCAGTAGGTCTTACACTATCTTGTTTGTGGTACATTGTTTCTGACACGGGTACCAAAGGATGTCTACAGAAAAGTTTGGGTTCCTCCTTGTGGGTGGGGTCCTTCTGTTACTCTTACTCAACACAGCTCAAGAGTCAAGAGGAGCTTCACTCGAGTGCAGAAAGACTGCAGTGGTCACACTCTGTCTCTAGAGGGCGCTGCACACAGGATTGCTAATAGGACCAGAAGAAGGGAGGGTTCAAGACTGCAGGCTCTCTGCCGGGCATGGAGGGGGCACCTTCCGGTCCAGATCAGCTCCTCTCCGATTTCATGCATAGCTGGCATCTCAGCCTCGTCGCCACTGCCCACTCCGCCGGCCCCGCTACCTCCAGCCCCTCCGCCACCGCCGCCTCCTCCAGCCGAGGCACCGCCTCCGCCCGCAGAGCCGTTCATCTGGCCCAGCTCTGCCAAAGAGAACACAGATTTCCTGAAAGAGAAAGTGGGGGGTAGGGGAGATCAGGGCTGGGAAGGGCCCAACCCCGCAGGACTGTCCCTTTCCCACCTCCAGCAAAAAATTACTAAATATCTTTTGTTTTGTTTTTCAAGACAGGGTTTCTCTGTGTAGCCCTGACTGCCCTGGAACTCGCTCTGTAGACCAGGCTGGCCTGGAACTCACAGAGATCCACCTGCCTCTGCCTCCCGAGTGCTGGGATGAAAGGCGTGCACCACCACCGCCCAGCACCTAAATGTCTTAAGTGGCAGGGAAATTAAGCTGCAGGTGGGAGGTGGCTCAGCATTTAAAGCGTTTGCCACACAAACAAGAGGGCCAGAGTTGGGAGTCCCAGAAATCATGTGAAGGTCGGGTGGGCAAGGCAGCCACTTGTAATTCCAGCACAGGGGAACCCCGGAACAAACAAGACTAATCTACCAGACTGGGCTCATGGAGAGACTCTGCATCAATGAATAAAGTGGGAAGAGCAATGAAGAAAATTCCCAGACACCAGCCTCAGGCTTCTACACATGCACCCACACATATTCAAACAAGAACACACACACACACACACACACACACACACACACACACACACACACACATACACGCACGCACGCATGCACGCACACACATACACACCACATACACATGCACACACACACCACACACATACACACACATGCACACACATACACACACATGCACACACATACACACATGCACACACATATTCAAATAAAAAAACACACACGTGCGTGCACATACACGCGCACACACACACCACACACATACACACATGCACACACACATGCACACATGCGCACACATACATGCACACATGCACACACACACACACCACACACATACACACCATACACACACACACACACACACACACACACACACACACACACACACACACACACACACCCTACACACAAAGACAGAAAATGGTTCAGTAATACCTCTCCCCCTACACAGACCCCCACCCCTGACTCCAGCTGATCACAGGCAGCCCTGCTGGCTTCTGATTTCTTACAAAGAGAATAAAAGGCTGACGTGGAGCGCCCTCTGTTGATCTCATCCTTAACACACACCTCTTGTCAGCCGAGGGCACCTTCTTGGGCGGCTCAATTCTGATGTTCGGATCCCATTCTCCAGGGGGAAGGACAATGACCTCATCTAGAAATTCGTCAATTCCTGCAATCAGATCTTCCCGGTTCCGGGCTTTATAAGCCACATCGCTGAAGAGCTGGGGAGGAAGAGGAAGGAAAAAGAGGGCTAAGCTTGCCCCTCACATCACAACCATTTTTTTTTTTGGGGGGGGCAGGTTTCGAGACAGGGTTTCTCTGTGTAGTTTCGGTGCCTGTCCTGGATCTCGCTCTGTAGACCAGGCTGACCTCGAACTCACAGAGATCTGCCTGCCTCTGCCTCCCGAGTGCTGGGATTAAAGGCGTGCGCCACCACTGCCCGGCACACAACTGTTTTTAAAGGAGCCAATTTTAGTCATTGCTCCGGATGCCAACTTGATTTCAGTGGGTGGATGAAGACAAAAGACAGTAGGGGACAATAGGAAAGCGCCAGTTCTTAGAGCAGGCAGTCACCTCAGATCTGAAACCCAGGTCGCTGTACTTCTTTAGAGACAGGCAAGCATAGAGAATAGCTTATCCACCCGGGACTCTTGATTTGGGCTATCTAATATATTCACTTCTTTCTTCACTCACTCTCTCTCTCTCTTTTTATTTTTAAAGACAAGGTTTCTCTATGTAGCCCTGCCTGTCCTGGATCTCCCTCTGCAGACCAGGCTGGCCTTGAACTCACAGAGACTCATCTGACTGCCTCCGGGTGCTGGGATTACAGACATCCACCACTACAGCCCAGCACACTCACTTCTTCTAATAGTGCATTTGGCAGCCTAGGACCTTTACTTGTACATACTATGCACACGTACTCATTTCTGCACGCACACCTAGCACACATTAGCCATATAGGGCCCCTGTGCACTGGGCTGTACACACAGTCCACTCTGAACAATGGAATTGTCTCGTCCCTTAACAACCACCAAACACAGACAGGTTCTATGTCTGTGTGGGGGCAAGAAAGTAGGGAGGGCCATTGGCCTGAACTAGTTTTGTGTAATAAGTCAAACCGTGTCCTCCAAGTGAACTTTTAGGGACACTCCTCCACTTACCATCTTATACCTATGAAAAACTGGGTGTGCACACAATCAATATCAGATGTGTTATGGGAAGGGATATTCACAACAGGAAATGATTATATAATTTGATCTATCACTCAAAATAATCATCCAAACTACACACACTCCTTTCTCTTGAATCCTGTAAAAAGAAGCCCCCAACAACAATGGGGGTCCCTGAGAACCCTCACGCATGTGGCCCGCCGTCACTCTCGACAGCGTACCCAACCCGTCCTATTGCTTTGCTTTGAATCACGCTCCCCTGCCGCTTCTGCAAATCTTTGTGCGGCTTCATTTCAAGTCTTTGAGGAAGAGCCGAAGAACCTGGACGCACTCGGCCTAGATGCCGACCCCGGTAACAGCTCTGCAAGACTTTGTAGAGTTCCTTGACCTTTCATTTCTGTTTCCCACAGAGCAAGCACATGAGAAAACCTCTACAGAGCCCAGTCTGAGAAGTCCTGATTTTCAAATCCATTCATTACTGCTCAGAGTTTCCCCCTGGGAGGGTCAGGGGGAAAAGACTTACAGACTTGCTGGGGTTATGTCTGTGTTTAAAGACCTCCAGCATCCCCGTCACTCTGGAGACAGAGTAGGACCTGTAGGCTCCTCTCCCAGGACATGTATGGTCTCTGGCTCAGCTCGCTGGAGTTGCCCTTGGGGAGCTCTCACACTCAGCTTACGTTGCTGCACCTCCATTCAGCTCCCCTGAGCCTTCATCACCTCCCTTTGTCCAGAAGGCGAGCATCCCAAGGTCATGCTCGTCTACCCGCTTCCTGCTCACCCTTGGCTTTTTATCTGCAGAGTCTGTCTTAGTTCCCCCAGGCAGCTAGCTCATAGTTGACTTTATTTTTTATTACTTATAATAATAGAATATATAATAATAATTTCAATATTGCAGCTCTGTCCCACTCACTAGATAGTGCTCCTACATGAGAGGGTCTGGGTCTTTCCCTGGATCTCATAATCCTTAGGTCCCTGGTACACAGCAGGGGCTCAACTGTGCCTGTTAGAAAACCGGTAGTGAGGGGTGGGGGGGGGGAGGCTGTGCCAGGACCACAGCTATTAGCACTCGATTCTCACTTACGTCATCCACCATGAGGGTCGCAATGGCTCGGCCAATTTCATTATAGGACTTTGCTCTCCCAGAGGGTCCCAGAAGAATGAACAGAAATCTGTAAAGAAGATGGAGGAGGAAGCAGAAACAAGGAGGGAAAAATAGAAACAGGTGAAGAGAAAAATTCTTTGGCCTTCAATGTATCCATTAACTTTTTAACTTCCCTCCTTTGAATCTTTTAAAACTCATCATCATTATTATATTAAATTATGTGTATGTCTGTATGGAGGTATGTGCACCTGAGTGCAGTGCCTGTAGAGGCCAGAAGAGGGCACTGGATCCCCTGAACTTGAGTTACAAGTGACTATGAGCCACCCAACATGGGTGCTGGGAACTGAACTCAGGTCCTCTGCAAGAGCAGCAAGTACCATTAATCACTGAGTCATCTCTCCACCTCCTATTACTGTTTTGTTTTTTGTTTGTTTTGTTTTGTTTTTTGAGGCAGGCTCTCATATAACCCAAACTCAAACTCTTTATGTAGTCAAACTCTTTATGACTTTGAGCTCCTGATCCTCCTGCCTCTTACCTCCCAAGTACTGGGATTACAGGCAAGTGCCATAATGCTTGGATCTTCCTTTTTACATTTATTTAGTTAGCTAGTTATTGTATGAGTTTGTGTGCGCACATGCCCTGGCACACAGGCCACAGCCAACATGTGGAGTTTTAGAAGACAGTTTACAGGACTCAGTTCTCTCCTTTCATCATGTGGGTTCCAAGGACTGAACTCAGATTGTCCGGCTTGGTGACAAGCACCTTGACTCACCGCGTCATCTCACTGGCCTCAGAATCTGCCTTTCCTTATTTTACTTGTTGAAGAGACATTTCTGTTTCTGCCCCCCAACTAGGCATCCTCACATTTGTATTGCTGCCCAGACCACTTAACAACTTCCTTCCTGGCTACTGCCTCCCCACAGCCCTTCTCTTTTGTGAGGGTCTCACTGTTGACCTGGCTGGCCCCGAACTCTCTATGTAGAGCAGGCTGACCTCAGACGCACAGAGATCTGCCTGCTGAGTGCAGGGAATAAAGGCGTGCACCACTGTGCCCGGTTCCGTAATAATGTAAAAGGCCATCCCTGCTTGCGGACTGCATGGGGAGTGGCTCCCTGGAGACAGGTGTGGTGGCACTTTTCGGTGACTCACCTGGTGGGGACAGGCACTTCTGTCACCCCTCCCAGCATGGCAGACTGGACGAGGCGAACAAATGCAATGAACGGTTGGTCCAGGAAGTCCACCTCGCCCACAAGCACGTTGGAGGCTTCCGAGTCCTTGGGGATCTTCTTCATGAATTTGTTTTTCCGCTGCTCCAGGAGGAAAAGGACGCATCAAGAAGACCTGGCATGCTCTGACTCTCCCTTCAGAGAACACGATTTCTACAGCATTATCAAGAGACCGAAGCAAAGGACCAAATATCCGCTCCAGCTCTGTAGATGGCGAGACTCAATGTTTGTTAACCCGGGACCGATTATGCCTTCATAGATGGCAGGATCCAGTCATGAACTAGATCCTAAGACACTCCACTGCTGTGGGAGCTGAGGGGTCGGAGAAGAGCCCTGGGATTGCTGGACCTAGCTCCCACCTACAACCTCCTTTCCTGGAACTTAGTGGTAAGCTGCCCAGACCTCCCTCCAGGCCTTCACCTTCTGTGGTTGAGAGAAGTCGGTTATGATGGTCTGTTTGCCCTGTGCCCTGCTTCCTTACTCACAGGAATCTCTGGACCAGTCTCCAAGGGTCCAGGGAGACTTCTCTGCTTCCAGGTTCCCCCCAAGGGGACCTCCTGGGGAACTCATAGTTCTTAGACTTTAAAACTGAGACCGTGAAGGGGGTCCCACTCCAGTCCTCTTGGCTACCAGCAGCCCAGGGCAAGGCAAAGAGATGGGGTGATCGGGCCTAGTGTCCCCAACAAGTCCTCTACTCAAACTACCCCACCCTCTGTCTTTATGACTTCTCTTCAGAGCCATCTGATGGTGGAGATGTCCTAGGGAAGGTTACTTCTCAGTCCTGGGGGACTTCTGGTCCCTTGCAGAGAGAGGTTCCCAAAGCTTTCTGCTTCCCTGCCTGCCTCTGAATCCAGGGCAGCGCTGTCCTACCTGGTCCGTGTTTGGGGTATGAGAGATGTCATTCATGCTTCTACTCTGGGCGTGATCTAGGAGAGACAGGAAAGCAAGCCTATCAGGGGAAGCCAGGCTCACCCCAGTCCTTTGCCCTCAGCCCTGAACTATGCTTCTACGTTCATAACTGCAGTACTTCCCTCAGGTCTACAGCCTCTTCAGCTGGCATCCGGGCTCTCCTGTCCTCAAGGGCAGCTTGCGTGAATAAGCAGCCTGACTCTAGGCTGTCTACTCATTTCTCAAGCAATGGCATGCTTGCCTCTAGCCTTTGGCCCCACCTTCTCTGCCCTCGCCGAGATGCCTACCCCAAGTACAGCTCTGTGCCAGGCTCACATGAGATGAGACATAGAGGTGTATTTTCAGATGAGGTGCCAGGCATCACTAGACTGGAACTTGGTGAACGAGACCAGTTCCATCTCTAGCCTCCTGGACCCATGAGAGTTTTTTAAAAACAGGCTGGCAAAGTCCACGGGGAGACAGGGCAGTCCAGGCACTGAACTGCCAAGAGTCCCTTCCTCTGGAAGCCATCCTCATTTCCCATTAGCAGTGTGGTCCAGTGGGCATGCTCAGCCCTATGATTCCTTGGCTTTGAGCCTGTGGCCCTGCCTTACTTCTATAGCACTGCTCTCCTCCTACTCACTTCCCAGGATCCTCTTCTGCTTGGCTCTCATGGGGTTTCATTTTGGCTACTACTCCCTCAGAATCCTCTCACACTTCATCACTGTCAATCACAGTCACTCCTATCGTTTCTACTGTGTGCGTGCGAGTGCGTGCGTGCGTGCGTGTGTGTGTGTGTGTGTGTGTGTGTGTGTGTGTGTGTGTGCATGTGTGCGTGCATGTAACGACACACAGAATGCATAGTGCATCTCAAGTTCCACTCTCTTGAGCTTCATAACCTCGGAGCAGCCCCATCTGGCACCCCAGTTCATTATCTTCCACCAAGTCTCCTGGAGACCTTATCCCACTCAGCACTCCCTCCTCCCCCCACTGGCCACTCAACATCCTGGGAGGCAGTCCTGGCTCCGCCCTCACCCTTCCCTCCTGCTTCTTCCCTCCCACTTCCCACCGGTTGTTACCGGCTACTTCCATCTCTTCCCTCTGCTCCTGAATGCATGCCCTGCCTCTTTATTCTTTCTCAGACGGAAGTCTGACTTTAGCACACACCTGTTTCCAGATCTCCAGGCCCCCCCTTACCTTCAGAGTGACGTCTTGGGGGTTGTGACTAAATGCACCAAGCCTTCTTTTGTCTGACCCTTAACCTTATGCTCCCGACAAGCTGAGTGGATGGTTTTTCCTCAACAGCAATTTCCATCAACTGCTGTTTGTGCCCTGGGTTAAAAGTTCCCCCTTGTTCTTAGAAGCCTGCTTCTCTGACCCTGGATTTAACCATGGTTTGATTTCACACCAATCTTTGGGCTGCCTCCACCACAAGATATTCTAAGGAAAGGGTGGATTTCTTTTCTGTTCCGTAAGGCTCGGTTGTCTCTTTCTCTCCGAGGCCTCCCCACATCATCTGTGCGCTGGGCCACCTCAGGGAGGCTGATGTCCCTGGGTACATACGATCCAGGTCACACAAAGTAATAATCACTTCCTCACCAGGCGGTGGTGGCGCACGCCTTTAATCCTAGCACTCGGGAGGCAAAGGCAGGTGGATCTCTGTGAGTTCGAGGCCAGCCTGGGCTACAGAGCGAGATCCAGGAAAGGGGCAAAGCTACACAGAGAAACCCTGTCTCGAAAAACCAAAATAATAATAATAATAATAATAATAATAATAATAATAATAATAATAATATAATAATAATAATAACTTCCTCGCGCCTCCTGTCTAGGTTTGCAGCTAACAAGAGGGTCTCTATACACAGGACTAGTTGAACAGAGCTCTTTCCAGAGCAACTTTCTGCCTACTGACCACTGCCCCCTGTTGGCCATATAAGAAATAACAAGGTCAGGAGTAGGTGCTGGGGTGTGGGGGTTACTGACAGGAATCAAACATTAGGACAGAGGGGGAAAGACTGGGCCAGGCAAGCACCTGCTGCAAAGAAACAATGGTGGGCTAGCTCTTGCGCTCGTGCTCTTCCTCCCTCCCTCCACCCTCCCTCTCCCCCCCCCACATAGAACTCACTCTCAGTCCTCCTGCTTCCAACCCCAGAGCGCTGAGATTATAGGTCTGTGCCACTGTGCCCATAGCGCACCTATTAACCACAAATGATCTTGACTGTGACCTTTGACCTCACAGTCCCCTGATGGTTGCTACTGACCACGCTCATGTTTCTTCTTTGTGGTGATGAGGGGTGTCTTGGGTGCCCTTCAGCAAAGGACTTAGGTGACTGTTTGTTTTGAGACAGAGTTTCACTGTGTAACCCAGGCTGGCCGGGAGCTCACTGTGGTGTAACCCAGGCTGGCCGGGAACTCACTGTGGTGTAACCCAGGCTGGCCTGGAACTCATTGTGGTGTAACCCAGGCTGGCCGGGAACTCACTGTGGTGTAACCCAGGCTGGCCGGGAGCTCACTGTGGTGTAACCCAGGCTGGCCGGGAACTCACTGTGTGTAACCCAGGCTGGCCTGGAA